CCTTCCTTCCTTCCTTCCTTCCTTCCTTCCTTCCTTCCTTCCTTCCTTCCTTCCTTCCTTCCTTCCTTCCTTCCTTCCTTCCTTCCCTCCCTCTATCCATCCATCTATCCACCCATCCTTCCTTCCATCCATCCATCCCTCAATCGCCCCCTGCCTCCCGCTTGCCCGTGACCCCCCAGATCCACCCAGGAGCGCCGGCACCACCAGCCACGGGTCCTACCGGAGCCGGGGCCACCGGGGCTGTCCCGCGGGGAGCTCTTGAGCACCACGGCGGCCGGCGTCGTCTTCTGCTTCATGGCCTGCAGCATCTCCACCAGCTTCTCCTTATCTGCGGCATGGGAAGCTGCGCTTTAGTGTAGCCTCCGCTCCGCCGCGCGCAGTGCCGCATCCCGCGGGAATGCCGCGGGAAGCGCCGCATCCCGCCGGTACCTTTCCGCTTGTCGGCGCTGATGTGCGCCAGGTTGAAGATGGTGAGGAAGCGCTTCTTCTCCTCCAGGTTGGGGCTGTTGTTCATGTCGTCGGGGCTGTAGCGCGTGGAGAGCGGGGCGCGCGGCGAGGGCGTGCGGCGCTTGCTCTGCACCGTGGGCGGCGAGGGGCTCCGCTCGCGCAGCATCCGCCGCCGCTTGCGCCGCTTCTGCCGCAGCACCTCCTCCTTCTGCTGCTGCGTGGTGAGGCCGAAGAGCTGCAGGAACTCCAGCTTCTGGGGGGGAGCAGGACGGCGTCACCGGCGCCCGGMGCCCGCGCGGGGACGTCGCCGCCGGCGCCGCCGCGGCCCTACCTCCGAGGACGTGTCCAGCTTGAGCGGCGGCTGCTCGGCCACGCAGCGCAGGTGGGCCCGCACCTCCTCCTCGTCGCTCTCGTCGCACGAGTCGTCCAGGTCGTAGTAGTAACCTGGGAGCGGGGGGGGACACCTTGAGACTGGACCCCCCCGCCGGGCACACGTGGGTTTGCAGGGGGGTGGCTACACGTGGGGTTCTTTCCTTGCACCCAATGCAGCCAGATGGGTGCTGGGCGAGCCCTGCATCCTAACGGCCCGCAGGATCCTGGGGTCCTGCCGAGACCGGCCGCATCCCTGCGGGGGGAGCCTGGACACACGAAAGGCCTCGGGTGTCCCCAAGGCAGCGCTCCGGCCCCTCGCCACCGTCCCCATCACCGCCCCTCCAGCCCCACTAACATTTAAAGCCCACTTATTAGCCCAGCTTCATCACTTATTAATGGGGCTCGTCCCGAGCACAGGGGGATCAGCAGCACTGCTCCGATTTGGCTTTCGGCACCGTTTGCAGGAGCGTCCCTGCCCCGGGGACTGCAAGGTGCAAAGCTGCAACCCCCTCACCACAGCGAGCATGCCATGCAACGACCTCGCCGCAGCAGGAGCCCTGTGCAACAAGCTGGATGCAGCGAGCATGCCATGCAA